CGCTCTCGCCCCGCGCCGCCGCCCTCTGCCGCGCGCGAGCGCTTGCGGCCTTCCCTGCTCGCCCCGCGCGCGTCTAGCCGCTTGCCGCGCCCGCCTCCCTTTCCTGCTGCTATGCTGATGCAGCTGCTGCCATCGTCAGGCCCTGCAGCCGCTGGCGACGCCGCATTCGGGACTCGTCCCGCCTCGCCTCCGGCCGCTGCCCTTGCGTGCCCCGCGCCGGCTGCGCGCCCGCACGCGCCCTCCCGCGCTTGGCCGCGCCCGCACCACGCCGCTGCCCATCATTGCTCTGCCTGTACTACTGCTAGTACTGTAGCTAGTGCTAGCTAGATTTTCTAAATCTATGTTGACTAACCCTCTAGACATCCCTTAAATAACAGCAAAACAACTACTAACAGGCCAAAAAATATGAGTTGAAAGTATACATGACAAACTCCATTTTATCCCACTGGACCAAATCCTTTTGATGAATAGATTAAATCCTACAAAAATCACAAAATGACATCTTATGTTAATAACTCCTAGCCTACTAACTTGTGTGTGCTATGTGTGTGCGTTGTGCACGTGTCCGGAGTGGACAGAGATCAGGTGACATGCACGTTTGCATGTCACCGTCTGCCTTGTGGCCGGAATTCAAATTTAAACATTGTGAAAAAATCTGAAAAAAATCATTCATCTTCACAGCACATGTTAAGATAACCCCTAAAAAATTCAGATCAAAATTCGAAACATACATCGAGAAACGAAAAAGAGAAATCTGTCATGAATAGTTCGCGAATGGTTCTCTGTAGACTATTCACATCTGAGTTTCCCTTTTTCGTTTCTCAATGTATGTTTTAAATTTTGATCTGGATTTTTCAGGGGTTATCTTAATATGTGCTGTGAAGATGCATGATTTTTTTCAAATTTTTTCACAATGTTTAAATTTGAATTTTGGCCGCAAGGCACACGGTGACATGCAAACGTGCATGTCACCTGATCTCTGTCCGGCCGGAGTAGTGGTCGGCCCTTGCTTAGATTAGTACTACTAGGTGTTAATTAATGGCTAGAGTAGTCTATGTACAGATGACATGTGGCCCCTTTTATTTAAAAGCCTAATTAATAGTTTGTGACAATGGCAAGTAGGGCCCAATGCACTGTTCATTGGTTGACTAGTAAAGGTGTTGTCTGAGTCAACCCAGCTCCTTGACCCCACCTGTCATTGAGTGTGACTAGCCCCTGCTGAGTTTGAAAAAAACATTTCACTGTTTATAATTCAAATTAAATAAATTAAAAAATCCTTTAAACTTTAGAAAGTTATATAAAATAATCCGTAGCTCGGATGAAAAAATTTTATACACGAAAGTTACTCAGAATTTCGAGACGAATCCGAATACGCGGTTTGTTCGTCTACCACACATCCCTAGCGTAGCGAAGATGCAACATTCCCCCCTCCCCGGTTCGCCTATCCGAAAATGCCTAACACCGAGAATGCTTTCCCAGATGTTATCCCCCTTCGCCAGTATCGTGTAGTACTTCGCTAGAACACACCTAGCACCGCTTATTGTATTGTCACGCATCCGTGTGCTATGTATTTATTGTTTCTTCTCCCTCTTCATTTTGGTAGACCCAGAGACCGTTGCTGATGCCCCTGTGATCGACTACTTCTACGACGACACTTCTTCCTTTTCAGCCGAACACCCAGGCAAGCAAACCCCCCCTTTGAGCATTCCGATATCGCTCATTTCTTTCCCTCTCATGCTTGCATTAGAACTGCTACTGCTTTCTGTATGATCATACTTTGATGCATAGCCTGTTTTTGTTACCTGCTTTCATACCTTACCTGCTTATTCTAAACTGGTTAGTATAGGTTGGTTAGAGATCCATCAGTGACCCCCACCTTATCCTAGTTGCCCCGCTTTATGTTTAATGACTCGATTAACATGATCGACGTCCAGGCCCCGGCACCACACATCACCCCCTAATTGTATGACTCTGCAGAGTTACTATCGAGTGCCAAGGGTGACACCTAATACATCACTCCTGATGAAATATTTGTAGTGTAGCTATTCGGTTGTGGTCATCGAGGGTGATTTCCTCCTTAACCACTTCCGATACGACTCTGTCGTGCAACCCCTCAAGTGTGAACCTTGAGGGTGGTTCCTCTTATGTTCACCTTGATGATTACATCGAGTGGAATCCACCGAGGGTGGTTCCTTAGGGTTTCCCTTGGTGTTAGACACACAATTACTATGACTTTACAACTATTACTTGGAAAGGCCGGTCGACCCTGAGGGGTACCCGCGAGTAATGTGGAGACGGGTTGACCTGGAGGGTACCTGAGAGATGAACACGAGGCGTGGCCAGACATTCTTAGTCCTTGTCGCAATTACTCGAGACGGGGCGACGGGGTCACATCTTTCGTGAGTCTCTGCTCGTGACCGCACTACCAACACATTAACGGTTTGGATATTTGATCAGAGGGGCCTCTGGCCTGATAGCACTAACCATCACGTGGGCATAGTATGGGCGTTCTGCGTCGTATACATCAGGCGAAGCTTAATAGACGCCAGCAACTGAGCGGCGCGTGCCGGGTTGGACTGCGTAAGCTCCTGCCTTATTTAAGGAAGTAGCTAGGCCTTCTCACCGGCCGCGTACGCAACGTGCCGGAGTTCCCGGGGAGATGGCCCATGACCCATGGGGGCATAGGCTTAGTCCGGCGTGCTGAGCTCTCTATTAAGCCTAGGTCGGGTTGCGGCGTATTGTTTGGCCGAGGCCGGGCATGACCCAGGAAAGTGTGTCCGCCCGAAGTTAATCGAGCATGGTGGGTAAGTTGGTGCACCCCTACAGGGAAGAAAACATCTATTGATAGCCTATCCTATGGTAACAGACACTCGGAGTTGTATCCCGATCGATACAACTAGAACTGGATACTTGCGGTGATAATTGGATAGTATGGCTCTGGGATTGCTTTCTCGTAGGGAGTCAAGAAAGGATCTTTGGCCGAGGTTGATAACACTACTACTACTTTACATTATGTTTATCTGTACTCTTCTAAATGTTGCAAGATGCTTGAAGATGTTAGTCTTCGATAGGCCAGGCTTCCCCCTTCTCTTCTGGCATTCTGCAGTTTAGTCCACATATACAACCCATTTCCTTTGATACAGATGCATACTTAATTAGTTTAGATCTGATGTAAGTTTGCGAGTACTTTGGATGAGTACTCACGGTTGCTCTGCTACCTCTTTTACCCCTATACCCGACCAGATGACGGATCCCAAGAGCCAGACGACGCCACTGATGATTACTACTACCCCGAGGGTGCCTACTAATACGTGACGGCCGCTAACGACCTGGAGTAGTTAGGAGGCTCCCAGGCAGGAGGCCTTGCCTTTTCGATCGTAGATGCTTTTGTGCTAGCCTTCTTAAGGCAGACGTGTTTAACTTATGTCTGTACTCAGATATTGTTGCTTCCGCTGACTCTTGTGTATTTGAGTTTATGTATTCGAGCCCTCGAGGCCCCTGACTTGTAATATAAAGCTTGTATTATTTTTAATTTGTGTCAAGAGTTGTGTTGTGATATCTTCCCGTGAGTCCCTGATCTTGATCATACACATTTGCGTATATGATTAGTGTATGATTGAATCGGGGCATCACAGCTATCCAGCATACATCTAGAGTATTAAGTTCATAAGAACAGAGTAATGCATTAGGCAAGATGACATGATGTAGAGGGATAAACTCAAGCAATATGATAAAAATCCCGTCTTTTTATCCTCGATGGCAACAATACAATATGTGCCTTGCTGCCCCTGTTGTTACTGGGAAAGGACACCGCAAGATTGAACCCAAAGCTAAGCAGTTCTTCCATTGCAAGAAAGATCAATCTAGTAGGCCAAACCAAACTGATAATTCAAAGAGACTTGCAAAGATATTAAATCATGCATAAAAGAATTCAAAGAAGAATCAAATATTGTTCATAGATAATCTTGATCATAAACGCACAATTCATCGGATCTCGACAAACACACAAGCAAACAAGAGGCAAGCAAAAAGAGACGAACGAAAAAGAGGATAGTGGAAAAGAGGGCGAATAAAACGGCAAGGGTGAAGTGGGGGAGAGGAAAATGAGAGGCAAATGGCAAATAATGTAATGCGAGGGATAAGAGTTTGTAATGGGTACTTGGTATGTCTTGACTTGACTTGGTGCAACCTCCACTACATCACAACACTTAATTAGGGGTAGTTAACTGCCGGGAGAAATACGTAAACAAGGGCATGTGAACTGCCGGAACAATTGTTACTGCCGACACAAGTATCTCAGGGCATAGGAACTGCCGTTAGAACTTGAGCAATGCGGGCACCTTATCTGCCGGTAAATTTAAGGGCACATCATCTGCCGGGACAACTAAATCGTGGCTTCTAATCTGCCGAGGACCGTCCTGGACGTGAGGCCGAATAGCATCGGCCATAAAGCGCGCGCTAGGGAGGGGAGAGCGCGCGAGAGACAAAATTTTTGGTCCAAAATAATTATGGACGCGCGGGCCCTCCACCCAAAGTCAGCGACAACCTCCCCTCCAAAAAGAAAAAAACCTAGGTCACAGCCGCCCCCAAATCTACATCCCGATCCACCCGTGCCCTCCACCATCCCGCCGCCGCCGCCGCCCCCAACCATCCCACCGCCGCTGTCGCACCCGCCATCCCGTCGCCGCGGACAGCCCTCCACCCCGACCATTGCCGCAGTCGCCCCTAACTACCCAACAGCAGCACTGGCAGCACCCCACTAACCCGGACCACCACTGTCGCCGAGCCACTCAACCGGCGACTACCCTCCTCGAATGCCTTCCCTCGCCACCACTCTACTTCGCGAGATTCCTCCCCCGAGCAGGCTTCCTCCCTAAGGTGCGTGTCCTTGGAGCAGAATCTCACAATTTCTGGGAGGGCGCGAGGAATACCTTGTTCCCCTCATTTTCTTTCTTCTGCTTTTTCCCTAGAAGATGTTCCTGATGCTACTACTTCTCCTAATGATCCTCGTGCAGACGATGGAGCCAGTAGTTCTTCGGATGAGATGGGTGAGTGCAATGGTGTTGGTGTGTTCTTCGGATGAGATTGTGTCTGCAATGTTGTTGGTGTGTTCTTCGGATGAGAGAAGAACAAGTAGGTAATTCGAATCAGTGGTCTGTTGATTACTCTTATGTAATATTTGTATTTTCTCTAGGTGCTGATTTAATCCTTCTGAACCCCAATGAGGCTGATAGCCTAAATAAATCTTTGCTCCAGGTAACTTCTACAAGTTTTGTATTTAGTCTTCTGTTGCATCAGGGGCAAACAAGCGCTCTCTTGTCTGAGTTTTACTTTCCTATATTGTAGAGTGCATGATTGTAGGACTACACAGTTTACAGAATTTCTCTCAAAACAAATAAATAGAAGGATTACATGGATGCATATTAGGTGAACTGTACTATAGGCTGTGCACTTGCCTTTTTCCTTCACATCAAAAGTTCAAAACTGATTTCTTGTAGGCTGTGCACTTGCCTTATTGTTGGAAACAGAAATGGAGCTCTGTCCTGTTATTTTCTCTGTACTCTACCCTCATGGTTCGTAGGGTAACAAGCACAATATTTAAATGAAATGTTGTTTACTGTCGGTGGCTTATTTGTATGCCTAACAAATGTGGATGGGCTTCTAGCCCAGTGGTCAGCGAACGGCTGTGTAAGCTGGCCGACGCAGGTTGGAGCCTCGGCTCGTACTCTGCTGTCTCACATTCTCCTCTTAATTAAAAAATCAGTAGGGCTTCTTCCCCTACTGGTCTAGTTTTTTTATGCCTAACAAATTGGGTGCAATGCTCATTTGGTAAAAATTTCTTACACTGTTGGTGGCTTGTTCATGTGCTAGTCTGGCATTGGTGAACTGTACTGTAGGTTGTGCACTTGCCTGTAGGTTGTGCACTTGGCTAGCTGGTTAGCCATGTAATTCTGCACCCTCTTTTGTTTGTAGGGTGTATTTGAGATCCCATTTATCTGCTCATGTCTTATTTTCAGTTCCAAAATTTAGTAGTGCAAGTTACTGATTGATGTATGGTTTCAATGCTTGGTCGTGGTTACACATGTAGTAATGTATATTTGTTGGTAAGAACAATGTGTGATAGTATGGTTTGTCATGACTCATGAGTGTGTCGAAAAGTCTAGACTTTGCCATGACTTGATATTGCAGAGATGTGTGTCGGAAGTACAAATTGGTCCAATGCTTACTATCACTCTCACATATCTTTTAGTTGTTTCTACAGAAAGCTTTACGAAGTGAATTCATTACTACTTGAAGTCTTGTGTATGGAAGGGAAATTGGACATTCTGCTCACTGTGTACTAATCAAAATGTATGTATAGATACTCTACTCATTCTGGTTCATGCCGCTATTAATTATAAGCGCTTCTTTTGTGAGCTTCTATCTTATGCAAATAATGTGATAATTTAGCAGCCTACTTTCATGGCTTTGGATGTCACTTGAAAAACTATCAGTGGAAGTCTTTTTCTTGTTCTTTGCTTAACTAGATGTCAAAGTATAAGGAACAAGCTAATGTACAAGATGTCTTTTTGTTGTTGTCGCGAAAAGCTCGTTTACAAGATGTTAAAGAATAATTAAGTAACAAGCTCATTTTCTTTGCTTAATAATAATAGCAGCTTTGCAAAAACACAGTTATTTATAATCTATTATTTTCTCTTGTCCAGTTTCCCATCTGATGTTTATGGATTACTTATGGCAAGGAAGCAGAGTTTGGAGCCACATGCTGATTCGTTGTTATTGTTTAAAAGATGAACCAGAGCAAGTACACTAATATTGCGTTGATTGCTTAAACAACTTTGCTTCTATGTATGCAGTAGGAAGTAGACAAGTCCGTGGCAAAAGCAGGAATTCGACCACAAGCATGCTGAGTAGGTAATATTCATGTTTCTCTTGCCTATTAAGCTGAGGTCTAAGTGGGTCATTCTTTTTATTGATTGAGGTCTATTTTTTTTTTGCTTCTACTGCTCTACATTCTCCAGGATGATGCTTTTTACTATTTGCAATCACGTTTCACACTCTCACCCAACGTTTACGAGTCGACGAGTCAGATGAGTCGTTCGAAGGTTGAGACTCATAGACTAATCGTGACTAGTCTAGACTACTGCTGGACTAGTCGACATGGTACTGTAGTTCACAACTTGCAGCAATCAATTACTAAAACCTAGTATTAATATGTAATATATACTATAGAAAGTGCATTGGAGCATCAATTTGTTCTGCAGATTAGGCCAGTAAGCATATTTCCATGTTGGATCCTTGCTCCTAGTTGGCTTCTTGCAGGATCCTTCGATGGATCATATTGCTCATTGGCCTAAGCTGCAGCTGCTGAATACAATACTTGAGATATTTCCGGCATAGACATTGCACTTCAGACCTAAAGATCTTGAAACTGAAGCAAACAAAACGAAATAAGGAAGAGGGCAGGGGGTAAAAATCGAATCAAAGAAGGGAAGAAGAGAAGGGAGAAATTACTTTGCTAGTATGCTTGCTTGCTTACTGCAACCTGAGGGACAAGCGGATCCAGTAGCCAGAAGGCAGCAGACGGAGACCGTAGGGCAGATCTAGGGAGAGCAGAAGGAATGGAGGGAAAGGGCCAGAGCAGAGGAGTGCAGATCCATGAAGAGCATAAGCAATGGAGGGAAAGGGGCAGGGTGGCTGGCTCACTTATCCCCTCCCAATCTCTAAAAAAAATTGAGTCGAACGACTCAAGGTGCACGACTAGTCCTTCGACTCCTCGACTGGGCGAACTAGTCTACACGAGATTTCTAGTCGACACCCAGAATGCGACTCATAGACTAGTCTAGCGACTAGTCTCGACTAGTCTAGCGACTAGTCTCGACTAGTCCCTTGACTCGTAATCAATGCTCTCACCACAATAGCAAATCAATTAGAAAAGAATGCCGCTGGTTGTGGTTGTATGTTTGTTTGTATGTAGAGTGGTAGACGACATAATCATATTCTGTATTTTTGTTTGTATGTTTCCAAGGATTTTCATGTCCTGAACTTTATACAGTACTCAAGTTTACAAAAAGAAGATTTTATACAGTAATTGCGGCAGCAACTCCTCTTGGAATTGGAACTGTGAAAGGATGTGTCATATTTGCTTCCTTTGCACTTTTAGGTCCATGCTTGTTTTCCTAGTTTGCCTCATGCTGCTTGGTTTTACATGTACATGTCATAGAACAAAAGCCTCACATTTAGCATAAGTTTTCAAATTAAAAAAAAGAGGCACATACATGTCTCAGTGTGAGCAGCTGAAACCTTGCAAAAATTTCATATGCAAGCCTCGAAAATTCCATATGGAAGCCAGAGAGGGTTGCAGAAATGGCCCATACTCACTTTAATATTGCCTGGTCTTTTTTTTGGTCCCAGATTCTATGTGGCGTGCAGTTCATAGATTCTTCTTGTGTTTGTCTTGTTTCTTAACTGCTTTCTTACCTACTGACATAGCTATAATCTCCATTTTGAGTTTCCGATATGTTGCAGGTTTCACAAAGGTACACAAGTTGATGGAGGTTTGGAAGATCTTCAAGCTGTTGAAGATTTGGAAGACCTACAATGAAGTTGGTGGAGTGATAATGCCATATGTCTTATTTGTTGAATCTGGAGATTGCTTTGCTCATTTTGGTTGTGGCACATCTAGAAATTTATGTACTCATTTTGTGGTACTACTTCATTTTTGTAGTCTGGCACATCTAGAAACATATATGTACTTCTCCTTTTGTGGAAAAACCTTGTGTTTATTGAATATATTTTAAGGTTCTGATGAGGCCTATATGTTACTTTGATTGATGAAGTCTATGTATAAATTGTGTGATATGTCATGATTGCCTGAACATAATGAATGGATAGGGATGCCCATAATAGTTTGGTAGTGAAATCAACGTGCTGGCATAATAACTGCCGGGCAAACATGCTTGTGCCGGCAGTTGAATTGCCGGTAACTATAGTTTCTTGTTCCTTGACCAATCTGCCGGGAGAAAATGGACTGCCGGCAAATAGATGGGCAAGGGCAAAGAAACTGTCGGGAAAAGTCTATCCGCCGGGAGATGTAATCCCCGACAGCCGTTCTCGTGGCAGTTCTATCTGTCGGGAGAAACACTGTCCCGGCAGTTTGTCTGCCCTTTAAAGTGCCTTCTCCCGGCAGTTTTTTTGTCCTTACATCAGCTCCCCGGCAACGGCGCCAGAAATCTTTCTTGCTACCTCTTGAGCATGCGTTGGTTTTCCCTTGAAGAGGAAAGGATGATGCAGCAAAGTAGCGTAAGTATTTCCCTCAGTTTTTGAGAACCAAGGTATCAATCCAGTAGGAGGTAACACGCAAGTCTCCTAGTACTTGCATAAACAAACAAGAACCTAGCAACCAATATAAAGGGGTTGTCAGTCCCTTCACGGTCACTTACGAGGGGAGATCTAATGGAGATGATATGATAAATATTTTTGGTATTTTTATGGTATAGATTGGAAAATAAAGATTGCAAAATAAACAACGATAGAAATGGCAAGTAGATATGAAAATAATATGATGGAAGATAGACCCGGCCATAGGTTTCACTAGTGGCTTCTCTCAAGATAGCAAATTCTATGGTGGGTGAACACATTACTATCGAGCAATTGATAGAAAAGCGCATAACTATGAGAATATCTATGCATGATCATGTATATAGGCATCACGTCCACGACAAGTAGACCGAAATGATTCTGCATCTACTACTATTACTCCACACATCGATCACTATCCAGCATGCATCTAGAGTATTAAGTTCATAAGAACAGAGTAACGCATTAGGCAAGATGACATGATGTAGAGGGATAAACTCAAGCAATATGATATAAACCCCATCTTTTTATCCTCGATGGCAACAATACAATACGTGTCTTGCTGCCCCTGCTGTCACTGGGAAAGGACACCGCAAGATTGAACCCAAAGCTAAGCACTTCTCCCAATTGCAAGAAAGATCAATCTAGTAGGCCAAACCAAACTGGTAATTCGAAGAGACTTGCAAAGATATTAAATCATGCATAAAAGAATTCAGAGAAGAATCAAATATTGTTCATAGATAATCTTGATCATATACCCACAATTCATCGGATCTTGACAAACACACCGCAAAAAGAATTACATCGCATAGATCTTCAAGAGAATCGAGGAGAACTTTGTATTGAGACCCAAAGAGAGAGAAGAAGCCATCTAGCTAATAACTATGGACCCGAAGGTCTGTGGTAAACTAATCACACATCATCGGAGAGACTATGGTGTTGATGTAGAAGCCCTCCGTGATCGATTCCCCCTCCGGCAGAGTATCAGAAAAGCCCCAAGATGGGATCTCACTGCTACCTCTTTTAGCACTGCGTTGGTTTTCCCCGAAGAGGAAGGGATGATGCAGAAAAGTAGCGTAAGTATTTCCCTCAGTTTTTGAGAACCAAGGTATCAATCCAGTAGGAGGCTACGCGCGAGTCCCTCGCACCTGCACAAAACAAATAAATCCTCGCAACTAACACAAACAGGGGTTGTCAATCCCTATAGGGCCACTTACGAGAGTGAGATCTGGTAGATATGATAAGATAATATTTTTGGTATTTTTTATGATAAAGATTCAAAGTAAAATAAAGGCAAAGTAAATAACAAAGTAGTAGGAGATTGATATGATAAAGAGAGACCCGGGGGCCATAGGTTTCACTACTGGCTTCTCTCGAGAGCATAAGTATTCTACGATGGGTGAACAAATTACTGTTGAGCAATTGACAGAATTGAGCATAGTTATGAGAATATCTACGTATGATCATGTATATAGGCATCACATCCGAGACAAGTAGACCGACTCCTGCCTGCATCTACTACTATTACTCCACTCATCGACCGCTATCCAGCATGCATCTAGAGTATTAAGTTAAAAATAGAGTAACGCCTTAAGCAAGATGACATGATGTAGAGGGATAGACTCATGCAATATGAAGAAAACCCCATCTTGTTATCCTTGATGACAACAATACAATACATGCCTTGCTGCCCTTACTGTCATCGGGAAAGGACACCGCAAGATTGAACCCAAAGCTAAGCACTTCTCCCATTGCAAGAAAGATCAATCTAGTAGGCCAAACCAAACTGATAATTCGAAGAGACTTGCAAATATAACCAATCATACATAAAAGAATTCAGAGAAGATTCAAATATTATTCATAGATAGACTTGATCATAAACCCACAATTCATCGGTCTCAACAAACACACCGCAAAAAGAAGATTACATCAAATAGATCTCCACAAGAGAGGGGGAGAACATTGTATTGAGATCCAAAAAGAGAGAAGAGGCCATCTAGCTACTGACTATGGACCCGTAGGTCTGAAGTAAACTACTCACACTTCATCGGAGGGGCTATGGTATTGATGTAGAAGCCCTCCGTGATCGATGCCCCCTCCGGCGGAGCTCCAGAACAGGCCACAAGATGGGATCTCGTGGATACAGAAAGTTACGGCTGTGGAATTAGGGTTTTGGCTCCTGTTCTGGTCATTTGGGGGTACGTGGATATATATATCGGAGGAAGAAATATGTCGGTGGAGCAACAGGGGGCCCATGAGGGTGGAGGGCACGCCTGGGGGGCAGGCGCGCCCCCTACCTCGTGGCCTCCTGTTAATTGGCTTGACGTAGGGTCCAAGTCTCCTGAGTTGTATTCGGTGAGAAAATCACGTTCCTGAAGGTTTCATTCCGTTTGGACTCCGTTTGGTATTCCTTTATTTCGAAACCCTAAAACAGGCAAAAAACAACAATTCTGGGCTGGGCCTTCGGTTAATAGGTTAGTCCCAAAAATAATATAAAAGTGGATAATAAGGCCCAATAATGTCCAAAACAGAAGATAATATAGCATGGAGCAATCAAAAATTATAGATACGTTTCATACGTATCACTCACGGGTACATAAGGTTGCGGCGGTGGAAATAGGGTTTCGTGGTGCTCTGATACGTCTCTATCGTATCTATAATTTTTGATTGTTCCATGCCAATATTCCACAACTTTCATATAATTTTGGCAACTTTTTATACTATTTTTGGGATTAACATATTGATCCAGTGCCCAGTGCTAGTTCCTGTTTGTTGCATATTTTTTGTTTCGCAGAATATCCGTATCAAACGAAGTCCAAACGGGATAAAAATTGGCAGAGATTTTTTTGGAATATATGATTTTTGGGAAGAAAAATCCACGCGAGATGGTGCCCGAGGGAGGCACGAGGCAGGGGGGCGCGCCCCACCCCCTGGGCGTGCCCCTGACCCTCGTGGCCACCTTGTAAGGTGGTTGGTGCCCTTCTTTCGCTGCAAGAGAGCTAATATCCGGATAGAGATCATGTTAAAATTTCAGCCCAATCGGAGTTACGGATCTCCGGGAATATAAGAAACTGTGAAAGGGCGGAATCTGAGAAGGCAGAAACAGAGAGAGACAAAGAGGCAGATCCAATCTCGGAGGGGCTCTCGCCCCTCCCATGCCATGGAGGCCATGGACCAGAGGCGAAACCCTTCTCCCATCTAGGGAGGAGGTCAAGGAAGAAGAAGAAGGAGGGGGGCTCTCTCCCCCTCGCTTCCGGTGGCACCGGAGTGCCACCGGGGGCCATCATCATCAGCGCAATCTTCACCAACAACTTCACCGCCATCATCACCAACTCTTCCCCCCTCTATGCAGCGGTGTAACCTCTCTCTTACCCGCTGTAATCTCTACTTAAACATGGTGCTCAACGCTATATATTATTTCCCAATGATGTATGGCTATCCTATGATGTTTGAGTAGATCCGTTTTGTCCTATGGGTTAATTGATGATCGTGATTGGTTTGAGTTGCATGTTTTATTATTGGTGTTGTCCTATGGTGCTCTCTGTGTCTGTACCGACCCGACCTCAAACGGTCAAGTCTCTGTGCTTCAGTGTCATCCCTGGATCAGTAATGCTGACACACACAGTACTTGAAAGATTTATAACAGAGTGACAATCACACACTTATTACATCGAATGCCTCAAAAGAGAACTTAATACAATAAATATGGCTTAAGGCCATCTAATACGATAACAACGGAAGGCTTGGAAGATAAAGTGAGTCCATCAACTCCAACGACATAGCTGAGCTGCACGGCAACGACCTAACGAACCTTACTCCTCGTCTGAAAAGTCTGCAACATAATACGTTGCAGCCCGAAACGAGGCAGCACATGGAATATGCTGGCAATGTAACATAGTAGAGCAAGAACAGAATAATGCTATCACTATATGCATATTTGGCTGGTGGAAAGCTCTATGGTTCAAGTTTTGCAAAAGGCCAATTTTTCCCTACAACAAAGGAATAGATTTATTTAACTATCATGGTAGTTGAAACATCATTGAGAAGGTTCCTCCAACTCAATCCCAATTAAAAGTAATTATCAACCCAACAATATTAATTTAAAGTGATGAGATACATATGATAATCCAAGTACTAGATACTCAAGATGTCCATATCTGGGGACACGGCTAACCATGATTAGTTTATACATTCTGCATAGGTTTGCGCACTTTTCCCCACAAGACTCGATCTCCTCCGTTAGTTTTCTCGCACTACATGATGTTTGAGAAACGGATGACCGAGACACAGTTTTTTAGAAGCATTAACTCTCTACTCCGGATAGACTATACCACCTACAACCCACTACCTGCTAGTCTATCTCTTCAAGAGCTTCATGCAACTTACTCAACTATGCTAGAGCCCATAATAGCTTGTGGCTGCACACGGAAGTTTCTAGCATGAAATATCTCAGTTCCCTTTGAGCCTGGGTGACAGACCGTAGGATTATCACACGGGTACTCCGGGATATCCTAGGACAACACTGGATTCTCCAGGTGCCCGACAAGCAATCCACCCAGATGTGTATTAAAGTTGCCACCTTAAGTTGAACCATTAATTAACAATCTCACATCTGTCATGGATTCACTCACCCAACCCACCCAGGGGTTTGATAATAACAGGGCAATAGGTTCTACCTCATCAACTACTTCCCAATCCCACATGTTATCAAGTCCTAACCATGCAATGTTTGAGGGCTGAAACTAATGCATAAAAACTGGGTGATAAAGGGATATGATCAAAGTGTTAATTGCCTTGCTGATGATCCGCAAAACCTAGAGACTCGTAGTAGCACGCTTCGCACACCGGGTGTTCTATCGCAAACAAACAATAGCATACATAAGCAATCAAGCAAAGAAGCATGGGTAAAACTCTAATAAGAGATCTAACCAGAAAGCTCAACTTAAGAACTCCGGTTTGCAAAAAGAATCAAATCAAACGGAGCAACGAAACTCAAACTGCGAAAGAAACAAGATCAGATTACTAATCTGGACTAAGGTCAAATTTTACTGTACCAAAATCTTGTTCAAGTTGATTAAACAGAAAGAGGGTTTCGAGACGAAGATCTAGGCGCTTTAATCGCCTGATTCCGATAAACGAGCGAAAAGATAAA